AAAAAATATCTATTATTGACAAACTTTCCCGCTACTTCGTCCGCGTAAATTATATGTAAACCGCGAATAATGTTTCCCGTAGGTGATAAATCTATAGTTTCAGAGCCTGTTCCGTGCCAAACAAACAAACCTAACCTCTTTCTATTATTATAAGAGTTACAGATAAAATAATAAAACACGAAACCTGTTTCGTCTCGATTCGCCCACCAGTGAAAAAAATATGGCATATCGGAGTAAGTGAATCTGGAAAATGTTAATTTATTATAATAACAGTAATAACTCGATAGTGAACATAAGGAATGAGGAAGTATTTAAAAAAAAACGAAAGCACTAAAAAGCACCTCCACTAGATGGCGACTCTAGCAAAAGTTGATTTTTGCAGGAAACGAATGGACCAAAGACAGTCATTTCCGTTCCTTTTAACTGACATATTAAAAAACTGAAATTTGAAAAGTTCGAAACTTAGATATCAAGACAAATATGAAAAAGTACAAATAGAATATGAGTTGTTTATTGAGTTTTGAAAAATAATTTACTTTTAAACATGAAAGAACACCGGAGGGGTTGTCATGGAGAAATCAAGAACGTAGCGACATCTAGTTTGATTTCGAGAAGTAATGTTTTTTTGAAATACTTCCTCGTTCCGTATTTATTTCTTCAGAATACGAGGGTCAAACTGAAAGTTCTTAGAAAATCAAAAACTGATTACATTAGCCAGTTATTAGTTTTATTATATCTTTTCAAAATATTGTCCATTCACGTCAATACACCGCTGCATGCGATGGAACCACTGGGAAAAGCACTTTTCCCACTCGTCCTTAGGGGTCTCTTCAATGGCATCGCGATACGCAGCCACCGCTTCTTCAGCATTCATAAACCGCTTTCCTTTAAGTTTTTCTTTAATTTTTGGAAATAAATAAAAATCACAAGGCGCGAGGTCGGGGCTATACGGCGGGTGACCCAGTAATTCAACGTTTGATGTCGCCAAATAGTCGATCGTTCGCTTGGCGGTGTGCGACGAGGCGTTGTCGTGGTGAAGGAGGATCCTACTGCGAGGTCGTTTCTCTCGAACTTTTTCCAAGACAAGTGGCAAACAATTGGTAGTGTACCATTCTGCAGAAACTGTTTTTTGATCCTCTAACACAATTGTTGCAAAATGACCTATCCTTCCAAAGAACGAGGCCACCATTTTTTTTCCCGCACTTCGATCTCTCTTCACTTTAGTTGGCAACTCCTCGAAAGGAAACACCCACTGAGCAGATTGTCTTTTGGTTTTAGGATCATAACAGTAAATCCAGCTTTCGTCACCTGTTAGTATGTCGAACACAGCATTTGAGTCACCTCCGTTAAATCTTTCAATCATTTTACGACACCAATCCACACGATGGAGTTTTTGAGCCTCAGTCAAATTATGAGGTATCCACCGGGCGCAAAGCTTCCTGACCGCTAAATGTTCGTGGAGGATTTTGTGCACTTGACTCATACCGATGCCTAAGCTTGTCCGAATCTGTTGATAGGTCACTCTTTTGTCAGTCTCTATCATACGCCGCACAACACAGATGTTATCTTCAGTCGTCGCCGTAGAAGGCCGTCCCTCACGTAAATCATCAGTGAGATTAGTGCGACCACGTTTAAACTCATTAAACCAGTTGTAAACAGTCGCACGAGATGGGGCTTCATCGTGAAAGGCCAATCGTAGTCTATCATAACTTTCTTGTTGACTTAAATGACATCGAAAGTCATAAAAAAATCATTGCACGAAAATTTTCTCGTGTTAAATTCATGATGACGTGACACAGACAATTTTCAATTTGCCGCCAAATCGTAAAACAAATGACAAATGAATGAAATATATACTCAGTAATATTGGCAAAGAGTTATATTTTCAAATTTTAGAATTATTTTTTTATTATATTGTTTATAAGTGGCCAGTTCTAAGAACTTTCAGTTTGACCCTCGTAAGTATTCCTCTACGTCCACAGAAATATTATTTTTATTTATCTACGTCCCACAGCGTGGTCATTTAATTTCCATGGAGTACTGTCTATTATTATACAGGACAGAATCAGTGTAGGGTTGCCAACCTTCATCTAAAATTAAATCAATGTAAACGTACTCTATAATCTTTATTATTTTTATCTTTAACTTAGATAGAGGACGCTAAAATACACTTTTTTAACCTTTATTTATGATATGATAGTGTCATTTATTATCGTAACCATAAAAGTATCAAACAACACCAAAAACTACCTTTAAAATGCTAAATAAAGGATACACTTTTTTATCTTCATTTATCTCCTTTAAATGAATTAATATTAGACAACATTACATACATTGCTCAGATTTCAAGATTAGTAGCTAAAACCCCCATTTTATGGAGTATCTGAGACAACGAAGATACCACACCCAGATCATAGACAATATAGAATAGCTTTTTGCCTATTACAGTAAGTTCCAACTAATATGTCGCATGGTGAATCATAACGCAAAGCAAATCTACCAATACTAACGATATACGAATAAAACGTATATCGAGTCTTGTTTCGACAACCATAAGGTGTAAAATACAACGCATCATCATTTGTTCCTGTAAAAATCAACTTTTGCTAGAGTCGCCATCTAGTGAGATGCTTTTTTAGTGCTTTCTTTTTCTTAATATACTTCCTTATTACAAATATAATAATATCCGTACGTTCTATGTTCGTGTGCCCATAGCTCACTGATGGTGTAATCCAAAATACGCTTCACGTTTATTGGACTCGGCTCGACGTAATTGTCACCTGGAAATTTAATTCGGCGTAGTTTAAACCTATTTTCGGATTAATTAATACACAACCTTTCTAGGCTGCAAAAATTCTGGCGACTGGCTTTACAAAGACAAAATGTAATGTAATTAAAGTCGCCCCTGCTGGAGGTTAGGCCTTCCCTAGGGATGGAATAGAATCAAATAGAATAGGGAGAATGGGCTTAGTGCGCTTAATGTGAACAACTGCAGCCGGGAGCGGGACCAATGGCTTAACGTGCCTAATGAAACGAGCTCGAGATAAGAAATTTTTGGTCACTCGAGCTCCTCCCTGCTTTGGAAGGAACAATGTCGCGTTAGACCCCGGTTGCTGAAATCGTTCTACATTGGGACCGCGTTGTATGTATGCATTGACCATTCTTTCGTCGATTATCGACATCATCGATAAACTTTACGGCCCTTAAGACCGACGAGCATTTATGAAAAGAGTTATTAAATGTCAAGCAAAAAACATATAACTGCGTGCCTTGCTCGATATCGATATCAGCAGAGTGAATTCCATAAAACTCCGAACCCGAATTCAAATTCACTTCGAAAGCGACATCCGCTTAACCTTGAATGAGGAAGAATAAAAAAAGAAAGCACTAAAAAGCACCTCACTAGATGGCGACTCTAGCAAAGTTGATTTTTGCAGGAAACGAATGGACCAAACGTGGTCATTTCCGTCCATTTGACTAACATATTAAAAAACTGAAATTTACGAAGTTCGAAACTTAGATATCAATACAAATACGAAAAAGTACAAAATAGAATATGCGATGTCACAGTCTATCTGACACTCATATTATGTCACAGACTTTCAAACACTCACATCAATGTCACAGTCTCTCTGAAACTGTCATCGATGTCACAGTCTCTCTTACTCACATCGATGTCACAGTCTCTCTGACACTCACATCGATGTCACAGACTCTGACACTCACATCGATGTCACAGACTCTCTGACACTCACATCGATGTCACAGTCTATCTGACATTCATATGATGTCACAGACTTTCTGACACTCACATCGATGTTATAGACCCTCTGACACTCACATCGATGCCACAGACTCTCTGACACTCACATCGGTGTCACAGTCTCTCTGACACTCACATCAATGGCACAGACTCTCTGCGTTCACATCGATGTCACAGACTCTGACACACATATGATGTCACAGACTCTCTGACATCGTTTGTTGATAGACAGTAAATACTCAATACTTCGGAATTACTCTTCATACTCAGGCGACATGGGCTATATATAATTCACGTGGACGAAGTCGCACGAAAACGGCTAGTAATAATATTTTTTAAAAATTCTCTTATATATTTTCTTGATAATTATTATCGATGTATTGAAATAAATACATACAAATCAAAACATCTAATTACTATATTTATTATGAACTAGCTTTCCGCCAGCGGCTTCTCCCGCGTGCTCTTGTATTACACATAAAAACCTTCCTTTTGAATCACCTTATCTATGAAAACCGCATCAAAATCCGTTGCGCAGTTTTAAATATTTAAGCATACATACGGATATAGGGACAGAGGAAGCGACTTTGTTTTATACTGTGTAGTAAGATTACACCTTATATAGATATAGAATATAGAGGTAAATTTTGACTGTTTGTTTGCATCGATTAGGGTCCAAAATTACTGGACCGACATTAAAATGAATGAGGAAGTATTAAAAAAACAATAGCACTATAAAAGCACCTCCACTAGATGGCGCCTCTAGCAAAAGTTGATTTTTGCAGGAAACGAATGGACCAAAGATATTCATTTCCGTTCCTTTTAACTAACATATTAAAAAACTGAAATTTGCAAAGTTCGAAACTTAGATATCAATACAAATACGAAAAAGCACAAATATAACAAGAGTTGTTTATTTTGATTTGAAAACTAATTCACTTTTAAACATGAAAGAAAACCGGAAGGGTTGTCATGGAGAAATCAAGAACCGTAGCGACATCTAGTTTGATTTCGGGAACTAATTTTTTTTTTTTAAATACTTCCTCTTTTCATGAATTCAGTGTTTCTCCCATAATAAAAGTCAGTATACTTAACTAATCCACTCCACGATTAGACAGATTAGATTCATGTTTTTATGTATGCACCCTCTTATTAAGTGTTCTATATTAAAAGAAACTTTGCTTTTCATTACATAATTGACATGGACGAAGAAGGAAAACAAATAAAACAGCACATATCAAGCGATAATTTAATACATTATGAAATCAGCGCGTCACATTGCTTCACCACTCTTGCCGTTTCCGGCGGCATCTGTGCTAGTTTCGAGGTGATGAAGAACTTCAGCGTATCGCGTACAGCGTGAGGGAACCGTTCACTGGCTATCACATCGCACAGACACGAATAGCAGCCGGGGAGGGACCAGCGGATCTTGTACTCTTTGTTTTCACTCTGGAACGAAACGTCAAGGTGAGAAATCATCGGTGTTAAGCAACTTTCGTAAGGCTTGCCTTGGGATGGGTGACCGAGATTTGTGCGAGTCGGACAGCGCGTTGTAGTCGGTCGCGGCTGCTGAAGGCGTTTGCACCCGTCAATCCGCAATGGGACTGAGTGGGTCTAGCCTATTCTTCTTATTCGATTCTTTGTGTATAGGGAACACCTGTACTTTAGGTGTGGGGACTTTAAGGCTGATGGTGGATAACTTTATACGAAAATTGCGCGAACAGAGTACGGAATTTAACAAATTCTTTCACCTATAGAAGTTACACAATTGAAGTCGCGTGAAAACAGCTATAAACACCAAAAACTAAAAATACATATATAAATTCTGGGCTTTGAATTGATAAGCGCGCGGTCCGCGATCGTTGTTGTTAAGCAACTCCCGCAATGGTCGGTCACGGGATGGGTGACCAAAAAAAAATTACCACCTCTCACCACTCGGTGCTTCGCAAGGCACGCTAAAACGTCGGTCCTAGATACAATACCCACCAATCCGCATTGGGCATCAACTATCCATAAGAAAGGCCTGAGGCAGACGAAGATGAATTCTGACCTTGATTAATCCGAGCCCCCTAAGCATCGTGTTGGCCAGTAGCCACGTGGCGGCGTGATGCTGTCCCGCTCGCTCCAACATGATGGGATATAAACGCCCAGACACCAATCCCGCCATCTCGCTGCTGGTAGACAGGCCCGATACGCAGAACGTTGCCTCCACGTACGCTTGTATAGATTCCTCTGGATTCTTTATACACTGAAATTTTTGTAATTCTTATTGGCGCGGTGGCGTAGCAGATAAGCGCAACGGCCCGCGATCATGGTTGCTAAGCAACTCTCGCAATGGTCGGTCCTGGGATGGGTGACCGAAAAATTATCAACTCGAGCCACTAGTTCAAGCCGCCGGTCCCGGCTGCATTTGCAATCGTTAATACCCGCCAATCCGCATTGGACCCGCGTGGAGGGTTATGGCCCATCCTCTTGAAGCATTAATAAGGAAGGCCTGTGCCACCACAGTGGGGACGTAGAAAGGCCGATGATGATGAAATGAAATGCCGGACTCTGAATATAATTGGTGTTAATATTTATCACGAACCCTAGCTCGGAATATTAACATTGAAATCATCATAAAATTGAAATTAAAGCAAGCTGTTTATTTATTTATCTGAAACCAACAACGTTACAGATGACGCCAAACAACTTGAACAAAAAGTGTGGTGGTGGGGGAAAGTTTGCGCATGTACACTTACGAGCAAAAAAACCTATGCATTAGAATTTCTTATTCCTACGTTAACTATTTATTTCTGTATTTTTTCTGTCCTATTTGCATGAGTGACTGAGTGGTAAACGTGCACACGAATGATACACGTGAAGTAAGTAGCTGCGTGTATAGTAGTAGTGAGAAATTACGAGCCTCCGATGTCTGTTTCATTGTTTCAAAATCGGATGTTTCTTCTTTCTTTAAAAAGCAATACACATCGTATACCATCTTTCTGGCTTGCCTTTTTAAAACTGTGTTTGATTGTCGACGAGACATATTTTGAGGTCGTGATGTTATTGCCTGCAAGTGTACTGAAGTAGCGATGAGACGTGAACACAAAGCGGGAAGCGATGGTTGACTGATCCACCAATAGCGTGGATTGGCGCGGTCGATGCGATCCTACTTCCGCACGCCGCGCCCCGCACCGCATACCGCGACGCCTAAAATCGGTTTCTGCGCATGCAAGGTCATTTGTTCAAGTTGTTTGGCGTCATCTGTACAAATGTTTATACATAACACATAATTACATAAGTAGGGCCAATAACTGGTCTCACACTTGTATATTCCAAAAGAATCCGTCCTTAAATTGTTATATGACAATTCTCAATTCGTGTGCTTGTTGTATGTATGTGTGTGTGTATATATGAGTATTTTTCGCGTGTATGAGCGTATGTGTATATATGAGTGTGTATGTATATATATGAGTGTATATGTATATGCATGAGTATTTATGTGTATGTATTTGTGAGTATGTATGTGTGTGTATGTGTATGTATTTGTGTATGATTGTGTATGAGTGCGTGTATGTGCATGTGGTGTGTGTGTGTGTGTGTGTGTGTGCGTGCGCGTACGTGACTATGTCATTGTTTACAAAAGTTACCTATTTGGATTATTATACAACAGAATTTATTTATATGTACCTATATATTACCTGTAAATGTGCGTCTATAACTTGCGCCGCGTTTGCCCCCAACTTGTCCAAGTTCTCGACGGTGGGCTCCCGGAGGAATCTGCCCACGTCTGTCTCGATTTCTTCCACACCTGAAAACGATACATGTCAATAACCCCACTGTTGGAGCACTCCCTAAAATCCAATGAGAAAATATCGAGATATTCAGTAATATAATATGATAAATGTCCATTCGTTTCCTGCAAAAATCAACTTTTGCTAGAGTCGCCATCTAGTGGAGGTGCTTTTTTATTATTATTATTATTTTCAATTACTTCCATGTTACTGGCACAACACATAAAGAAAAAAATTTAATATTTTCGACACACAATTGTTTATTATCTATGTTCTGTATGTCAAGGAATAAAAGACCATTATATTTTTTCTATATCTGTTTTTTAATAATTAACGGTGAGTTGCACAAACGTCCATTAAGGTTTAATGGCATCATTAAGCTCTAATGCATGTCAATTTGTATGGGTAATGTCGCCTTAAACTAATGATAATTTTAATGGACGTTTGTGCAACTGGCTGTAAATCATACTAATACCAACATTAATCTACAGTCCACCTAAGAATCGTACATTTTAGGCCTTATCTAGTTTTCAATTAATGTTTTGATCAATGTGATTTCACAGGTAATTTCTGTTTGTTCGTTTTGTTTGTATAATTTATAGTTTAAGCCAGAGGTTCCCAAAAAATTATTTTTCTCATTGACCATTTAAAAAAATTTACTAGTTTCGGTGGACCCCCTGCTGCTACATTTTTATCATATTCCCGAAATGTGAAGATCTAACTATGGAACTTGTTAACCCCTATTTTTATTTCACGCCAACGTAGACCCCCGTTGAATCCCTCGTGGACCCCCGGGGGTCCACCTGGACCACTTAGGGAATCACTGATTTAAACGGAACGAACGAATAAAAGATTTAAACTATTATGAGGATTTAAAAATTAATGCCAGTAACTACAGATAATTATCAGATATTTATCGGATAACAGGCTAGTTGAAAACTTTTTTTTACATTTTTATATAAATAGTCCATTAATATCTGAGAAATAATGTAGAAGTAACATTATAGCTGAGATTTATAGTTTCGGAGATACGGCGCTGTGTTTGTGGAACTGCTGCTGGTCAAACGAAAACGCTCTATACATATTCAAGGCACTAAGTGACGTCACACAGTGCTACGGTGAGCGAAAAACGTATGAGCGTCTGAGCAATCTTTGTAATATCTTTGTTATTTGTGCGTTTATGTTTATAGATGTTATAATGAAAGTTGTAACATTTTATGTAAATAATTTAATACCATATGTATTTTAGTAAATTATTTTAGTATACTTTCCCTACTTTTTTTCAAGTTTCCAAACAAGTGTCATAAAATTTGTTTTGTTAAATACTTTTTAAGTTAAAATGGTTAATATTTTCCGAATATATGATAGAAACCTGTATTTTCACTTCCAATCCTATTATTATATCATCCGATAATTATCCAAAAAAAAAAATATATTATATTGTTAATATAAAATCACCAACTATAAATTGAGCTAAACTAATTAATGTGGCGTAAAATCTATACTATAAAGCTGAAGAGTTTGTTTGTTTGAACGCGCTTATCTCAGGAACTACTGGTTCGAATTGAAAAATTATTTTTGCGTTGAATAGACCATTTATCGAGGAAGGCTTTAGGCTATATAACATCACGCTGCAACTATTAGGAGCGAAGAAATAATGGAAAACGAGGACGAAGTCGCTGGCGGCCACTAGTGTTAATATAACATTGACCTAAATCTATATATAAAAAAAAATTGTGTCACGATGTATGTTGCCAATAAACTCCAAAACTACTGAACCGATTTCTATCAAATTTCACATGTACCCGTATTTTGGTCTAACTTACTGGATAGGACAGTTGTCATCTCAATTATTCGCTTATGTCGTGAATGTAAACGAATAAAATGTTCTACTTAATTGTTTCTTAAGCGAGTGTTTATTTACTGTTTAGTTTTATGAAGTTCTCATAGATGGCGGTGTACGTTGATTCATAGATACAATTCTTCTATATCGTTTGACATCTAGGTTGCAAATACGCCCAATAGATGGCGCTGTGTTCTAGATGGCGTTTACTCTAAAGTAATCTGCGGTAACGTTTCTTTCAAAGAATTTTGCGTAGATTACGTTTTCGATTAAGTTTTGTGTTAACTTCAGAACTGTTTTATTTTCCATCTGTATTTCAAATTGCATTGAATTGGATTAATATATCTAAATTTTCAAAGATAAAGTACCGAAACATATTGGAAATTCGTTGGCATTTTGTTGTACTATCTTCGAACTTAAACATCAAGGTAATTTCATCATCAGCTCAAAAAACAGCGTTTTTGGAAAATATGATGCCCAAAGTAACTATATCACGCGGACGAAGTCGCGGGCAAACACTAGTTAATTAATATGGCGTCAAATGCTTAATATACAGAACTGTACGAGTTAACTCCATTGTGTTACCATATAACAGAAACTCACCCGAATTATCCAGTGTAACATCCCTCCCTATAACAGCGGCTGTGTCTATCTGTGTGTGATTCAAATCATCGTCTTCATCGACTTCTGAGTCTTCATCGCTCTTATCATCATCATCTACCTCCTCCTCATCGGAATCTGTGGCGTCTGCGAAAAGAAATTGCAATTAATTACACACAACAAACTCCTATAGAGTTCTGTTGTCCTGGTACTTTTATTAATTCAGTACAACACGCCTGAATGTCTTTATTTCAAAATCTATCGCAATACCTTCAATTTGACATTTGAAAGATATTCATAAACTTCACGACTCCACTATTTGACATGTGAAAGCGATCGCGATTTTTTTTTCGCAAGACATTAAACGAACTACGCCTTGAATTTGACGTAAATTTATACTGTCTAAGCAAAGTGATAGATGCAAATAACTTAGAAATCTATTGAGAAATGACAAACGAAAAAATCTTCGATCACTCAATTCATACAAAAGCGATATCTACTAAAATTATAATATTATATAAATTATAAAGGCGAAAGTTTGTCAGTTTGTTCTAAGCCTGGATTAACTTGTAGGCTATTTATCCCAATAAACGGTTACCGAGGGAACACGAGCGAAGCCGCTGGCGGAAAGCTAGTAATATATTAGCGAAGCGCCGAATGTTTTAACCGAATTTCCGAATACATAGCATTATTATTAGCATCTATACTAATATTATAAAGATATATTTTTATATAATAAGCCCTTTTATTCGGATCTTATTGTAAAACTCTTTACATAACCAAACTTAGAATTGAAAAATATAACATAATATAATGTAATTCTTATTAATTTAAAGTCTTTTTTTTCTTGTTTCTTTATTTTATGCAGATCCGTCTGCCAGTCGGCAAAGGCCTCTTCCAACCTTTTCCATTCATATCATAAGTAACACAAAAATACTTTTCTAAAAAACCGCGTCTAAATCGGTTCAGCCAAACGCGAGATAATCGCGTACAATACTAACAACAAGTGTTAAAGTGCGAACCTCCATTTTTTACTCGGTTAATATACCTAAACCCTTCTCCTAAGTCTGAAAATTACTATGCTGAAAACCGCATCAAAATCCAAACGCGAGATAATCGCATACAATACAAACAACACGTGTTAAAGTGCGAACCTCCATTTTTTTAATCGGTTAACATATGTACCTAAAAACTTCTAAACCTGACAAATACTATGCTGAAAACCGCATCAAAATTGGTACAGCCAAACGCGAGATAATCGCGTATAAACATACATACAGGTCAAACTGAAAAACCTCCTTTTTTTGAAGTCGGTTAAAAAAAGGAAAGATTTGATTGTTAGCATCGAACTGGACCGATTTCAAAAATTCTTTCACCTACATTATACGGTATTGACACAGGCTATAGTTTACTCGTACGAATCCGCGGGTAAAACAGCTAGCAATATACAATAAACTCACACTCGTCTTCGCTCCCTTCTCCGTCCGATAATTCAGCGCAAGCGCCCAACTTGTCCTTCATCGACTTCTTATTTGACGCACTTCCCAAACTGTTGCCTAAAACACAAGAATATCATAATAAGGTTATGTTAGGTTTTATATGGGGGGGGGGGGTGATGAATTAATCGCAGTTGTGGCTGGTTTACATGTAATTAAGTAGGTAATTAGATTCTAATTATAAATACAATGAGCAAGTATTTTGTGAACAAAAAAGAAAGCACTTAAGCACCTCCACTAGATGGCGACTCTAGCAAAAGTTGATTTTTGCAGGAAACGAATGGACCGAAGACAGTCGTTTCCGTTCTATTTAACTAACATATAAAAAAACTGAAATTCGCAAAGTTCGAAACTTAGATATCAATACAAATACGAAAAAGTACAAATAGAAAACCGGAAGGGTTGTCGTGGAGAAATCAAGGAACTACCGTAGCGACATCTAGTTCGATTTCGGGAACTAATATATATTTTTTAAATACTTTCTCATTAAGCTCAAAAGTGGTTACCTAAATTTTTACTTATTTAAAGTCTACTTAAATAAGTTTAAACCAGCCATAACTTAAATTAGATATGGGGGTTTAAATACACCGCACCTGACTGCTTTTATTGGTACAACGGGATAAAAGGATAAATGGTTCGTCTACACATCACCAGATGGCGTTATCCGCCAATGAATCTCGCTAACACTGTTGTAACTACCTATGTCATATAGGCATACATTGGGTCGACGAGAATGGGACGGTCACAGTAGAGGAAAAGAACGAGTAGCTGTTGAATACACAGATAGAGCCAAAGCCTACCTATAACCTAGAACGTTCTAAATGTGATCATCTAGCTCGAATGTTCTATAGTCTATTCAACTTCCTCTGAGACAAAATGTAAACAAACAAACCAATGTTTCTCAAACATTTTTATTGATGTTAGTATGTAAATAAATTTGTTAATGGGACAAATTATTGTATGGTAGGTATGCAATACAATAAGTCTATTTCTTTTCAAATAAAACTAGCAATTGTAAGAGTAAAATAATTTTATTTAGAATCTTCCCCGTCTTAATCTCCTATTGTTTTCCTTTTTAGAGCATCGGTTAATAAAGATTTTATTTCATTTAACTTAAAACTTAACAATAACAGAAAACAACAAACTTAACAACTGGCATAATCAAATAACAAGAATTTAACGAAAGCATTTTGCACGAGTCAACGAGTTGATCGAGAGTAAGAATGGCCGGTATAAATCGACAAATTACAAAATTTCACGTTTCTACGTAAAGTATTTACCTTATCACTACTGCTCAATTTCGTAGTATTATAATACATCCATTGTTTGGGAACAGCTTCAATTTTAGGTGTTTGTAATGTCACGTTCTTTTTTCATTCATTCTAAATGCATCTATATTTTGACATATTAAAGAACCTTTTTCCAGTTTGTTTACATTTTGTCTCAGAGGAAGATGAATAGACTATAGGTTAGAGGTAGGTCGTATATCAATCGGCCCCTAGGGATGTCGAAAATGAAAAATAATATCGATAATTATTAAAATATCAATATAAGCATCGATATATCAATGGCATAATATCGATTAAATCGCAATAAACACGAAAGTATTGTAATATCAAGAATATGTCATAGACAATATAGTTTTTTTTTTTCCTTCGATCCTATCTTCTACAGTTTCGGGTTTCAGCGATTTCAGTGGCATAAGAATTTAAAAAATATCGTTTTCGATACAGAATATTTTGTATCGATATTTCGATACATCGGATCAATATATATCGGTTAAAAATATATACTGAATTCGATATATTGAATTCAAAATATCGATACATCGATACTATTTCTGCAAACCTATCGGCCCCTATGCCCCTTCTTAACATTTTTAAAAAATAAATATTAAACTATTACATCATCACCATGACCCAAAACGCTGACCCAGTACGGATTGCTGGGTGTTAACAACTTCACCAGCCGGGACTAACGACTTTAACTGCGGTCCGAAACACGGAGGAGCCACAGATAAAAAAAAATCCGGTCACCCATCCCATTACCGGCCACTGTTGCTTAACTATTACAACATTATTACCTGCTAACACAACTCTCGCCAATCTCTCGGAACTATTCGGTGCACTCCTAATGCTATCAACCAGTTCCATACAAGCGTCACGTCCTATTTCGTTGTGACTCATATCCAGACACTGACAAACAAACAGACAAGGAATATTAAACAAACGCGCAGATAAATAATAGAAAAACAGAACCATCATTACCGTTAGTAGATTAATATAAATTAAACCTTAAGCCGAATCCACCCAATGTCTTTGTATTGGACAGTCTGTTAATGAATAACCTGTATTTTTTTCCTTTTATAACACTTTTCAGAGAAAAAACAACCTGATAGTAGTTTATTATCGATCGTATGAAATTACTTTCGCTAGCTTCCTTAAAAGTGCAACAGATTGTCCACTCTAAGATGGCAGCATAAGCACATTAAGTAAACAAAATCATCATCAGCCCTTTTACGTCCCCACTGCAGGGGCTCGGGCCTTCCTTATGGATGGTTAAGGAGGATGGGCCATGACCCTCCACGCTGGCCCAATGCGGATTGGAGGGTATAAACGACTGCAAATGCAGCCGGGACCAACGGCTTAACGTGCCTTCCGAAGCACGGAGTAGCTCGAGATAATAATTTTTCGGTCACCCATCCCGTGACCGACCCTTGCGAAAGTTGCTTAACGACAACGATCGCGGGCCGCGGCGCTTATCCACTACTCCACCGAGCTACTCTACTACTAGCTAATTTTCACTTATAGGACACAAATCTATTGCCTTTTGTAAATAATTTCCCTTCATTCTTAACATCCAAACATGCAACAATGATGTATTATTAGCAGTGGCCGGAATTAGGTAGAGTTATTCATGTACTTACACTGGTTTCATACAGCGAAAGAATAAAGTGGATATACCTCAAACCCCGAGGTTAATTTTAAAGAGCAGAAAAAATCCCGTGATTTTTTAAATAAAAAGTTATTTACTTTTACACAATTTAAACTACTGCACGCACGACGTTGCCAAACTTACATCAATGAAAGAAAGAAATAAAGAAATCCCGGGAAGGTCCACATTAATATCAACATTTCGATGCAAGTACATAAATAACTCTACCTAATTCCGACCTCTGATTATTAGATAAAATTACACTCTAATAGATTCATTGAATATTAACTACCTACTATACTCACTATTAGTATACTCTTTGCCCACTACTCTGTGAGTGAAGTTTGACGTTTAGAAAAAACTGGCGCCTTAATATCTAATTAAATTTCAAAAACTACCGCAATCGCTTTCAATATGACGTTCGAAAGATAATCTTGAACTTCACGCCACAACTACTTCACATGAGACAGCGATTGCGAGCGCGACATTTTTTTTATGAAACATATATAAGTCTACGGCGAGCGTTAGGCGCAAATATTACTTTAAGTTACTAAGTAAGTACTCATTATGTCTAACTATACTCCATTCATTATAACATTAGAAAAAAGAGGGTCATAGAAGCAGCAGTTCAGAACATTTTATTTTCAAGATATTTTTAAAAAATATATATTAAGTTTAGTTAAAAACTTTGAACGTTAGGTAGTCTGAAAGAGCTGGGCAATTTTCCATTTTTTATGATACCTCGGGGTTGAGATGAGGCCAGCATTTTATAAATTCATCTTTTAGTCCCAAGCCAACATGGAACTAAAACTGAAACTATCTGTGTGTTTTGATAAATTCTAATTGTAAGTGTAATAATTTAGACTATTGATGAAGACTTTGAAAAAACTCCCTGAAATGTCAAAGTTTGAGGGTAGGTATGGGGGCCTAGAGCGTAATTTTTGTAGGCCACTCGGGCCTGTACCGGCATCGTCCATATTTACCAAAACTTAACAACAAAAATAAAACAATAACATCACGGAAAACGGCTAAACAACAAGAAAAGCAGTAGCATTCACAATGGATGACAATCCCAGATAACGATTTTAACAATTATTAATACATAATAGTCTGACAAAATTAAAAAGCTATACTACAGAAACGCTTGAAGGAGTTAGGCAACGTTTTAAATTTGGTAGAGTTATAGTGACATGAGAATCATGCCGAAACAATCTAACCCTGCTTCTTTAGGTTCTTTAAGATGAACACTTTTTATTGTAATAATTATTAAATGTTTTAAGTCAGTCAAATACTCATAAATTTGTTTAATATATAGCTTAAAAGACTACTGTTAAGTATAGCAGCTGATATTTAAGTGGATATGTAGCAAATTAGCCGTTAATCTTAAGAGTAACATGATTTTTGACATTTTGTAACAAAGTATACCATAAAAAGAACCTTATTTTCATTCTGTCTAATGCTATAATGAATGGAGTATAAGTACTCATTATGTCGCTCGATCGTTCAAAGCATCATTCATTCCGAAAGCGATTGCAACTTTAAACTTTAAAAGGTATTGCAATAGATTCTGATATTACATACACTATACTCACTTCTAACATCTGCAGATTGTCGTGAAACGCTTTGGCCAAAGCTTTCGCACCTTTACTTTTTAATAAGCAATCGCCAAAGTTGATCGACTTTAGATTCTTTAGGCTGTAACAATATTTTGTTTTTGTATTTATCTTATACTAGGTACTAAACAAGTCACTTAGTTTCTCTAACCGTCACTAGATGGCGCAAGTTGTATATTTAATGAGGAAGTTTTAAAAAAAGAAACGGAAGCACTATAAAAGCACCTCCACTAGATGGCGACTCTAGCAAAAGTTGATATGAACGAATGGACCGAAGACAGTCATTTTCGTTCCTTTTAACTGACATATTAAAAAACTGAAATTTGAAAAGTTCGAAACTTAGATATCAATACAAATACGAAAAAGTACAAATAGAATATGAGTTGTTTATTGAGTTTTGAAAACTAATTTACTTTTATACATGAAAGAAAACCGGAAGGGTTGTCATGGAGAAATCAAGAATGTACCGTAGCGACATCTAGTTTGATTTCAGGAACTAATTTTTTTTAAATACATCCTCATTGTGCTAAGCCTAAATATTAAAAAAAACTGCTTGAATAGACAAATCTAAACTAGCTGTTTTCCCGCGGCTTCGCAGCCTCCCGTAGGTGAAGGTATTATTAAAATCAGTCCAGTAAAGTTGAAGCTTAATCAATGTGAACAAACGATTCACGTCATTTACAGCTAGCAACATAAACGTCCATTAAAATTGAAATTAGTTTAAAGCAGTGATTCCCTAAGTGGTCCAGGTGGACCCCCAGGGGTCCACGAGGGATTCAGCAGGGGTCAACGTTGGCGTGAAACAAAAACAATTTCCATCGTTAGATCTTCACATTTTGGACGAATTTGGGAATTTGAAAAAAATGTAGCAGCAAGGGGTCCACCGAAACCGGTAAATTTTAAAAATGGTCGACGAGAAAAAATTGATTGGGAACCGCTGGTTTAAAGCGACATTACCCATATAAATTTTACATTCATTAGAGCTTAAAGGCGTCATTAAATCTTAATGGACGTTTATGCAAATGACCATTAGTCAAGAAATTCTATTGATTCAATTTTTTTGTATAAAAATAAAAAACACAGTTGATCAATTATACGTGTCCTAGATATTCTATTCCTTTCGAAACTCACTTCACTTATGCCACGATATGTTATTACCAGAGGTCGGAATTAGGTAGAGTTATTTATGTACTTACATCGAAATGTTGATATTAATGTGGACCTTCCCGGGATTTCTTTATTTCTTCTTTCTTTATTTGTTTTTTTCATTGATGTAAGTTTGGCAACGTCGTCGTGCAGTAGTTTAAATTGTGTAAAAGTAAATAACTTTTTATTTCAAAAAATCACGGGATTTTTTCTGCTCTTTAAAATTAATCTCGGGATTTGAGGCATATCCACTTTATCTTTCGCTGTATGAAATCAGTGTAAGTACATGAATAACTCTACCTAATTCCGACCACTGGTTATTACCTATTCAAGATTGAGCCGATTTTTATAGAATCGCAGGACAGAAACGAAACTCGTAGCGAAAACTAGTGAAGTGTGTGGCACGATCGAATAGTGTTGTGAAGCGAGACGTAGTGACGTGAATTGTGAAAACGAAGAAGTGTGGATCTTGTTGTATTTTTTTTTCCCAAGATTTGGCTGTATGGCTTAGTTCCTTCGCCTGTTTTTTTTTTTTGTATTTTTATTAAGTAATTTAAGTTGGATTGTGAATTTGGCGTAGATTTTTTCCGATTTTAAAATGTAACAAATACATCACTCACCATGGTAATGCGGCGGCTATAGCTTCAGCTCCTTTATGTCCAATGGTGTTATCATTGAGATTTAGACAGCTCAGTCTCGGGTTCTGTTTGAACGCCTCCGACAGAGCTGATATACCAACGTGGTATATACCGTTCTGGGGCATCGCCACCTCTTCTAACGTACCCATATCCTGTTGGTAAAACAATATTAGTTACCAGCCCATTAATATCCCCGCTGCTGGGGCTCAGGCCTTCCCTATGGATATGAAACTAGAAGAATGGGCCACGACCAATGTCAAACGTCGTGTTTTAAACGGGATTGTCCCGTTATCCAGTCCTCTGTCCCATTGTTTCCAAAGAAAATCTTGGGACGCAAACATTTCCATATGTGCAACAAAAATAATTATTTATTCAATAAATATCACAGAATTAAAATATGTAATAATGAAACTTCATGACCGTTAACCCCCCCTATTCCCCTTCATTGCTGTGGTGGAAAAAAAAATCCATTTTGAGCAAAACAAAAAAATGGTCACGATTGCGGCCTTCCGGGCTGAATGCAGATTGGGGGGCTATTAACGACATCGGCAGCCGGGCACGACGGGTTAACGCGCACTAACCAGAGGGGAATTCGAAAAAATTTTCGGTCACCCATCCCATGACCGACCACCGCGAAGGTTGCTTAACAACAACGATCGTAGTTGCTTAATACCTGGTGTATAATAAAAGTAACACTCACAGTGAACACAGCAGCTAGCGCTTTAGCACCTTCGTTCTCTAACCTGTTCCTGCCCGCTATGAACACGCGCAACGGACGATGCGTGTGAGAGAGAGCGCGAGCTAGAAGTCTACCACCAGTTATACCGAGACCGTTGTTGTTTAAACGAAGCTCCTAAACGACACGTGAAACCAAAAGACACAGTAAATACACAAGGAAGAAAGAGAAAAAATCACTACACACTCTGTCCCTATATCCCCTATGTATGCTTTTCTTTAAAACTACGCAACGGATTTTGATGCGGTTTTTTTTTCATAGATAGGGTACGGTGACGGTTGGAATTTGAAGGTTATAAGTGATGCGGTAATAAAATAATCTTCATTATAGTGATAATTGGTCAATGTGAAAACTAAAAAAATATAAAACCCCCGTCACAAAAACTTAAGTTCCCTATAAAAAGAAAAAAATAGTAGAAGCTCAATCTTAAAGTATCTAAATAAATACTAATAATTAAAAAAAAATGTGTTGCATTTGAACATATTAAAATGTGAACATATTAAATTGTTAGATCTGGAACGGTCCTTGAATACGACATATTTTCTTTTAGAATTATGAATATTTTAAGACTGAGTTTCTTTTATTATTTTTTACTTTTTAAAGGAACTTAGTTTTTTGTGTGGGGGCTTTTTTAAATTTAAATTTATTTCTTTTATGTTATCCTTTTTATAGGTTTTTGTATTTCCAAATTACTACAAATTGTCCTTATAAGAGATAAGTTTGATTGTGTGTCCATTAGATATTCATTTAAATTCACATATTAAAACACAAATATTATTTTAATATCCATAATTACTGAAATCTAACCCACTAAAGCTTAAAACGTCAATTGGGATAATGACTGATTAAAAAAACGGAAATTTTGTTTATTCCGTCAGTCAGATAATAGATAAATAGTAGATACGTATTTTTATTTACTTCAATTTAACAAGAAATGACTTAGATAAGGCATTAATGTTGAGGAGTGGGAGCTTGCTACGTCACAGTTTTGTAGAAAATTTACATAAGCATGACTTCATGTGACATTTTAATTTATCACTGTAATATAATGATAACACAAAAAAAAGTGTTTAATAATTTTCAAGAATCTACCTGATGGACAATTGTAAATTATCATTGTATAACCCTATTGTTATAACTAACCTGTAATTGACTGCAGACCTCACTCTCCAGGAGTTTCGCAAGTCCTTCTACACCAATAGGTCCGAAAGCATTATCACTAAGATCCAGTACTTCGAGCCGTGCACCAGCTGTGATCATACCATCACCGAGAGCTTTCTGCAAAAGAAATTAACTAAATTCAAATATTGTTAGTTCCAATTAACATGGAGCACGGAGCACTGTGGGTGAATCTTTGCACAGAACATCTACCAATAACCGCACATACAATTATAATGTATAGTGCGTCTTGTTTCAATAACCATAAGGTGCAAAATAGGTAATATTGCATCATGTGTCTGTCTCACTAACACCCAGCAGGTATCAGACGCATGGATATTGGTGGATTCAGATGGCATGATATTTGAACCTCTCTGATTTGGTGTCAACCAATTGGGCGCATTTCACTATTTATCTTTATGGACATATATTAGGAGTTTGATGACATAGATGACATTTGCTCTATTCAATTATCTGTAGGAAATATTGTAAATCACTAACCAAAGCTGGTGGTATCTCAGTCTTCATTCTGCCTGTGAACATATCTGAGAACTTTGCAATCTTCAGTTCTGGGTGGTGCTCCAGAGCTTTAGCAATGGCTTCCGCTGCGGCAACACCAAGTGTGTTGCCTGTTAGTGTTAAATATTGGAGGTTCGGGCATTTGTTGATGGCATCAACTATCGGTTGAGCTGGAGGAAAAACAAAGTGAAAATAAGTAATATCTCATCCACTTGATATATGATCAGATCAGAATTACTGAAGATTACTCCTGAAAAAAAAAAGGAATTATATCTCTTTGTAATATTACTGTAGCCTCGGCCAATAAGCCTCAGAACAGATAATCCAAAAAACAGGATGGTTCTAATTAAAATGAGACATCACATTAACAATAGAAAGAAAAAAAATTGTGATCGTTAAATAACCCCTTAACAAGTATTAAATTTTAAAAGTAAAATTACAGTGTTGTCAGCTAAAAAATAGAGTAGTTTCTATATAACAGTACAGCTGATATTAAAGTTTGTTACAGTAAAACCTAATTTAAATTATTAATCAATAAATATGCTACTTCATTAGTTATATAGAAACACAAGTAGTAACTTGATAACAGTAGTTAATTGCCCAAAAAAGATTTGGTCATGTTTTTTCTAACTCTTTGCCTTAGTTATCTTTGATATTATTACCTTACTGGGATTGAATTGGGAGTAATTTTAGGAATTCAATATATGTGATCTAATATATTTCCTTAAAATATATCTTAAATCTATAATTACCCATGGAAACTTCGAGATGAAGTAAGAAAACTTCACCAAAAACGTAACTATATTACATGCGTTGCTTAAAATCCAACAAATTAGTTAAATCCACACTAAGACCTGTGACAGTATGTGGAATAATGCTATCGACTTTCACAAGTGCTTGTAACAGCCTAGACTGAATAAATAATTTTGATTTTGATTTTTTTGATTTTGATTTTGAATAACATTAATATATTTGCCAGAACATGGTACAAATGATATTAATTAGTTACATTAATTTCACATATTTAACTGATTACAGTATGCAAACTTTTTACATTATGAAATGAGAACTCAAAAAGTTCTTAGTACTCGCATGAATTAACATGACACCTGATGACCTATTCCATTTCTCAATATACGAAATGCTAATACGCCTCCATATAAACTCAATTTCCGAAAATTTATAAATGAACAAAATGCATCTACAATCTTCATGAAAATGATTTTAAAAAAATTTTAAAAACTATTTGAAAGGGTTTAGCCGGATACGTATGACGAGTCGGCCCCCAAATGGGAATCGATATTGCAAGTTATGTTTTAATATCGACTTGATGTTCAAACACGATTTATGTACTTTTCGCGACCGACTTCCGCTTTGACCTTGAGATAGAGAGCAAAATATCCGTATGCTTGACTATTACTGAATGTGATATATCTCTGAAGCTAATTAAGATAAAGAAGTGAAACTAACGCGAGGTGTTAGGTTACATTACAGAGTATATCACATATATTTTTTTATAATTTTTAGAATAAAAAATTACATTAAAAGAATAAAAATAAAAAAAACATGTTTTTTTTTTCTGAGTTCTCTGTGACTTACAATCACGAAATTAATATATGTTATGCTCCTTTGTGTGCTCTATCACCCATAAAAATTGCGTGAAAAAAAAGTTGGTGCAACACAACGAAAAAAAATTATATGTGATTTCTGTCTTATGGTATACCCCTGTATTATAAGGTTTTCACATAACATCATTGTTTTTTTTTTTCGAAATTTCACATCAGCTTGTTTTAAAACATAAGTAACTAGTCTTAAGAGATGGGATAATAGTTAAAAAAGAAATGAAAAAAAAACAGCCAGTGTTCAATACTTATTATTATTACTTTTTCGTGTCTATCAAAATACAAGAAACAAAATATTAATCATCGTCACTGTTGTAATTAATTACAATCGGAACACTTTGAGTCGCAAATAAATTAGTTAGGACCTCAGCAGGACGTACGATTTTGGACAAATATCATCCATATGATAGATAATAAATAATAGCTGCTACATGAGACCAGCATCCCACTGTACGTTTGCCATTGGGGCAATCACAGCAATAACTAAGAATACTATTGTAGTCATTACCTTCGGAAATATAGTGAATGTAAATTCAATAGACTTTTCTATTTATATGTCTTGATTTTACTTCTGCTTTGATGATATTAGGTGCTGATTTCACATATTGTACTGAGAGATTATTTTGATCGTCCATTATTTCGGCCAAGTTAAATGTTGCACATTAAGAAGTAGAAGCTTTTTTGTTAATATATGGGATAAGTCGACACTTCTTACAAAAAATATCATTAACTATTACGATTTTATTCAAACAGTCACTAAACACTTTAGCTTCTTCTTCATTCTTTATAATTTTTTTATAACCAGGAATCTTACTAACTAACTAAGTTATTTGCGACTCAAAGTGTTCCGATTGTAATTAATTACAACAGTGACGATGATTAATATTTTGTTTCTTGTATTTTGATAGACACGAAAAAGTAATAATAATAAGTATTGAACACTGGCTGTTTTTTTTTCATTTCTTTTTTAACTATTATCCCATCTCTTAAGACTAGTTACTTATGTTTTAAAACAAGCTGATGTGAAATTTCGAAAAAAAAAAACAATGATGTTATGTGAAAACCTTATAATACAGGGGTATACCATAAGAAATCACATATAATTTTTTTTCGTTGTGTTGCACCAACTTTTTTTTCACGCAATTTTTATGGGTGATAGAGCACACAAAGGAGCATAACATATATTAATTTCGTGATTGTAAGTCACAGAGAACTCAGAAAAAAAAACATGTTTTTTTTTATTTTTATTTTTTTAATGTAATTTTTTATTCTAAAAATTATAAAAAAATATATGTGATATACTCTGTAATGTAACCTAACACCTCGCGTTAGTTTCACTTCTTTATCTTAATTAGCTTCATAGATATATCACATTCAGTAATAGTCAAGCATACGGATATTTTGCTCTCTATCTCAAGGTCAAAGCGGAAGTCGGTCGCGAAAAGTACATAAATCGTGTTTGAACATCAAGTCGATATTAAAACATAAGTTTCAATATCGATTCCCATTTGGGGGCCGACTCGTCATACGTATCCGGCTAAACCCTTTACCGAATATTCGTTCGACAACCAATAGATTAGGGCCTCAGATGTCATGTTAGTTCGTGCGAGTAGTATACAGCATTGATTCGGAATGAGAATCCAACACGGAACCTCTGATGACTCTGATACATGGAAACCGGCATGCGAGTCACTTGACCAAGGCCAATGTAGGTTATGTATCACGCAATAATTTATACAGATACTTTGCAAATATATTTCAAATATTATAATTTGATTTAATAAAACAATATTGGAAATTACAGTATTACAAAATAAATTTTACTTACCATCCTTTTCCGTGTCGAGTTTTAGAGATTTACCAGAAAAATCTACACCACTTGTAGTTCTACAAGGATCACTCAAAGCTTTTGTTATTGAATTCAAATCGAATGAAGCCATTTTTAATTAACACTGGCTAATAGAAGGGTAAAATAATTTAAATAAAATTCATGAAAACAAACAATCAACACAGCATCGCAACGGATTTTTTTGATTTTTTTTAAGGCCGTTTTAGTGATGGGTTGTTCAAACCGGTTAGTGAAACTAAATAATAGCAGAAAATAAGAGCTTATAATTCGTTGACGTGTTATCAATGTATATTTATTCTATATATTACAAGGTGCATCTTTTAGATTAAATATATATATATATATATATAAGATTTTGTTAAACTGATTATAGAACGAAACATGATCTTATTCTTTTTTTAATTGATGTTTTATTATGCAATGAATGAATAACATTTTATTAAACATACAATAACATATTTAACCAAAACAAAAATTATTAATTCACTACACAAGAATCAAGTGTCTCTGCATGAAAATGTATAAATACCTAAAGGAAAAAAATTACAATTAAATATAGTACAAACTCATCTTTGTGCGTTGCGGTATGTTTGGGTTATCCTTGTACATATGCAGTTAGTTTAAGTGCTTGACAAGAAGTACAACCAAACACAAATACAGTAATTTCAACAAATTGAAAATAAAAAAGAATAACTGTGACGAGCTGAAACTATTGGTAATTATTATAGATTAGTTTGCTTTAAGCAAGGATAGAATAACCGGTTATAATTGATAATATAGATTCTTAAAAATAACTTAATTTGGGAAATATATGTTCATTGAACATATTACTTAGCATTGATACTAGAAAAATCAAACTATGATTAATTTTTGGATTCGCTGCTCTTAACCAAAGTTAACTATGAAATCCGATACCATGTCAATTTTTATTTCCGTGACGAACAAAACATTTTCGTTAACAACTTTACCCATGCAAAAAAGTTACAAGAACACGTGATGTTCAGACGACAACTAAAAGCTGTGTTATTACATGCTCAAACAATGACAGTTACTGTCATTAGATATTTAAATATAGGATTGACTGGAAATTTTTAAAATGAAAGAACATTTCTTAATCGAAAGATGTGCTTCTTTTCATTAACTGTAATTTTCCATAGAATAGCTTGAATAACGGATAGAAACCGTTCTAAGGGCCATCTCTAGATCTTTCATTTTAGATAAGTCAAAGAAATCGATGTCCTACAGTCTAAAATAATGTATATTATACGTTTATTAAAGTTGGTATTATTGTAGCTACACTTCTTAAAGTATTTCTCTGAGATTTATTAGTTACACTAAAATCTTAGTATAAAAAAATGAGTGATACAAGCAAAATGAATTAGAATTTTTGACTTTCATTAATTTATGGATGGGTGTGCAAATAAACCTTAGTTATTTGGGGGTTGCGTACATCGTTCAATTCACCAGAATATTCAGTGTCAACTTCGACTAGGATGGTTTGGATATAGGAAGTTAAACGCTTCTTAAGTATTCAACGAATTTTATAATTATCAAGACCACTGGAAATTATCTTCTTGCGTTGCTACTCACTCGCAGAGATTATATAATAATCATTGT